TGATATATCACAGATATGTAACACTTTATGCTTTAAATAAAACTTATTTTATTTCAATATTAATTGTGTGATTGTGTGAGTCCTGAGAGTGACCTGACCTGACCAGACCCGAACCTCGGGAGCACCCAAGCTCCTACAATATGATGATTCATATATTTAGTTTATTAATCTTAAAAAATTATTTAAATCACGTGAGTAAATCTTTGGGTAATATCGAAAAGTCAGAGTATGCTATTATGATAGATAGAAACTCTTTTAACTAGATTGATATCACTTCAGAAATGTAAAATACCTATTTAATAATTATTTAATAGTAAATCGATCGCCGTTTGAATTCATCGACTGTTGGGATCATAATATCTATGTTTGCATTTTATTATCATTACTGGCCATCGGATCGGTGTTTGGCCTCAAATACCGGTCCGTCGGCACCGGTTTGGAGACAATGTGGGGCTATTTGTCGGTCTTATTATCCGATTATTTCAATGTTAAACAAATTAGCAAATCATTTGACCGCCTGTTCGCTGGTTTATGGCTTATCATATGTTTGATGTTATTATCTCTATATTCGGCCAAACAATACGATATTATGATCGCCGGACAGACGTATGACACGATTGAAACCTACGATGACCTGCACGCCAAACACCAGTGGACACACTTAGACATTCATGCTTATAGTGTTGACTACTTTAATCAAATAATGTACGATTTTACTGAATGCAATGAAATTGTTATGAAATTAGGCAAACGATTAATAGTTTGGGATCCGTTGGGTTTATTGACAAATACTTCACAACTACTGGAATTAATTAAGGATGTGTTGGCCGGCAATGCTGTTATAATTTTGCCAAAATTTGTGGGTTATTATATTCTAAGAAAAGTTCAGATTATATATGGAAACTCTTATCGAGAGGACATTGATTATTACATATCGACTGCGGATATAAGCAAAACATTTTATTTTTGGGGTTTAAATACTAAACTATTAAACGAGTCGTTTATCAATCAATTCAATAAAATGTAAGTAAAAGTCTCAGACGTGACAAATTCATAATTCATAATATATTTAATTTACATTTATTAAGGGCATGCTTGTTATGTATGTAATATTAAGAAGTATTCTGTAAAATTATTTATTAAAATAAACTATGATCACATTCTAACTATTTAATAATCTGTATAATTGTTGTGTTTATTAATTATAATATGTAATTATTAATAATTTTGTTTTACTGTTTAGTGTGAAACGTATGCAACAAAAGGGTGTCTATGAGTATAAAGTAAGCAAATCATGGAAACCTTTGGGTTTTGGTCCCGATATATACGACAAACCGATTGTCGATAAGACATATGATATCATATCCATTGAAGACATCGTTGGCGTCGTTTGGCTCTTAATCTCAGGCATAACTCTATCAACACTTTTACTGATCATTGAAATGATATATTCGTACAAAATATCCAAACAAATCATTTGTTGACTGAATTTCAATACATCTCTTAATCTCAGGCATAACTCTATCAACACTTTTACTGATCATTGAAATGATATATTCGTGGAAACTATTTAAACAAATTATTTCTTCACTGAATTTTATTATTCAATTTACAATCCAATTATTTAGTTAATTCGTTTGTTTGCAAAGTGTAGTAAAAATATTGTTAGATGTTTGTTTAAATTATAGATCGGTATTTAAATCAATGCACAGTTTGGTTAAGTGTTTTATTTTAATTATTATGATTGTGGAAAAATAAATAAACTTGTAATAAAACATACATTTATCAAATTTAAATATTTACAAAACACTATTTTTATAAATTAGTATTATCAGAACATTTTTTTGACAATTATTTTTATTTTAATTGAATCATGTTTATATGTAAGTTATTCAAAAGACCTAGCGTCTTTTCACAAAATTGGATTATCTTATATACGCAAAAAGTAAGAGTTATATATCATGTTCGGAATACATTTATTACTTTATATAAATAATTTACAAACACTATATAACAAGGCGTTCAGAAATAAATGTCCATAATGGCTATAACTTAAAAACGAATGAAGTTAATTTGATTCTGTCTTCGGAATATAATAACACTAACCCATGTCCACATCTCACATAAAATTTATCAGGATTGATTAACATTAAGAGTATTTATTTTCAAAACAACTGAGATAAAAATTGCTCGAAAATCTTATTGAAATAGGAAAACTTTTTTCCTGATTAATAAAAGCCATATGTGTCTATATAATTATGATANAACAACTGAGATAAAAATTGCTCGAAAATCTTATTGAAATAGGAAAACTTTTTTCCTGATTAATAAAAGCCATATGTGTCTATATAATTATGATAGCTACACATCTCATCTATAATCTCAATAAACAATTTTATCTCAGCAAGCTCTACTTTTTCTCTAATAAGGGGTAGAACCAAGGCACTTATGGGCCAAATTGAACTTTGTCAATTTTTTAATATGCTTTTTTAGAAAAAAAAAATTCTCTCACAGACAGTGTACTAAGTTGTAAGTTTTAAACGATCATTGAAAAAATGGTAAAGTTGAATTTTGTAAATAAATGTATTAGTTAAAAATTTCATTAAAAAATAATCAAAAATTTCAAGGGTAAAATTATATGTTTAAATTATAGATGAGATGTGTAGCTATCATTATTATATAGACACTTATAACTTTTATCAAACAAAAAAAAGTTTTCCTATTTTAATGAATTTTTTGAACAAATTTTTTTCAGTTTTTTTGAAAATAAATACTTTTAATGTTAATCAATCCTGATAAATTTTATGTGAGATGTGGACATGGGTTAGTGTTATTATAATCCGAAGACGGAATTAAATTATCTTTATTCGTTTTTAAGTTATGGTCATTATGGACATTTAATTCTGAACGCCTTCTTAATGAGTGTACTGTATCTCATATACGTATAAAAGTATCAATATTACTCACAATTTTAATAATAAATATATATGTGAAATATTATCATTAAAATTACAAGCAGTTTAATTTATTAATTCCGTATTCTTAATTTAGTTGATGTGTTAGAAAATATTATTTATATAACTATTATATATTTTAATAGAATTTTCTCTTAAAATATCATAAAATAAGGTTTAATTAAAATTGTATTTAGTATCGTTATTTTGCAATCATTTAGCAATCAATTTAAAAATATAAATAACTTAATATTATATAAATCACTATTATGAAATTCAAGTACCATGTACGCAAATTAATAATATTAAATAAAAATCAATTGACATGAAGTAATTATTAGCATAAACAATAATAGAATTGTTTACATCATAATATAAATCTTTTGTACATAAATGATCACAATCTCTTATATAAATAAAAATTTATTACAATCATGTACCTATCACTGTAAAAAAATTTCAACTAAATTAATATCACTTCATAATATACAATTCATTTTTATAGAAATTTACCATTAATTTAATGTATTTATATATTCTGAAAATAGATTGTTTAATTATTTATTTTAATTATATTTTTAGTTAAAAAATATAAAAATAAAATAAGTAAACCAATACATGTATTACATTTAATATAAAATTCAGTATTACAGAAAACACTGCAATTATATATAAAAATGTGTGAAACTTATTTTAAAGTAGATTATGATTGTGTTTGTCTTAATACCGACCAAAACATTACCGATTGGGTTAACACAACCGCAAACCCACCGTTGGAGGCAATTGTCCTATTATTTCCGCCACTCATTACATTTAATGAGACGTCTATAACACTGTCGACGCCGCACAACACATCCGTCCTATACTATCAATATTGCGGTCCATTTATAGTACTTTTGCGTACATTTGCTCAATATATCAACACTAAGTATTAAATTAAATTTTAATTACATTTTGATTAATATTTAAATTTTTAAAAACAGTTTTATAATACGTCCGCAAATTAAAGACAGTTTAGATATTGCAGAAGAATTTTATTATTCATTTATTAATGAAAGGGTCAATAAATTCCCTCATTTGGCTGCATTCCCGTATCAATCGGGGGCTGCAGTTGATATGCTCATGTCCTATTTGTCGTACAACTTGACCACATATATCGGTCAAATGGACTCCGATGTCATCATAAGCAAACCACTATTGAGTTTGTATTATATAATTTTATGCATGTTCTAATACTGTACATATCTAAAATTATCAGGTTACAGAAATTGGTTTTGTAAATTTTTAAATAAAATACAATTCTTACATTGTGCTAATTTGTTCAAAGTATGTAAAAATATGTGCAGTATTTATATAAAAACAAATATACCTCAAAATACTTCTTATTTAGATATTTGAGATAATTTCGTATTATTCAGATAGAGACTCTTTTAACTAGATTGATATTTCTTACCACAAAAAATACTCATAATATGTAAAAACTTTACTAATTATTTAATAGAAAATCGATCGGCGTTCGAAATCATCGACTGTTGGGATCATAATATCTATGTTTGCATATTATTATCATTACTGGCCATCGGATCGGTGTTTGGCCTCAAATACCGGTCCGTCGGCACCGGTTTGGAGACAATGTGGGGCTATTTGTCGGTCTTATTATCCGATTATTTTAATATTAAACACATTAGCAAATCATTTGATCGCCTGTTCGCCGGTTTATGGCTTATCATTTGTTTAATATTATTATCTCTATATTCGGCCAAACAATACGACATTTTGATCGCCGGCCAGACATATGATATGATTGAGACATACAATGACCTGCACAGCAAATGCCAGTGGACACACTTAAACATACATGCTTATAGTTTTAACTACTTTGATCAACTGATGTCCGATTTTACTGAACGCAATGAAATTGCTATGAAATTAGCCAAACGATTGATAGTTTGGGAACCGATTGGTTTGTTGCAAAATACTTCACAAATACTGGAATTAATTAATGATATGTTGGCCGGAAATGCCGTTATAATTCTGCATAAAATTATAGGTTATTATTTTTTGAGAAATATTCAGATTATAAACGGAAACGCCTATCGAGAAGACATTGATTATCACATATCAACAGCGGATATAAGTAAAACATTTTACTTTTGGGGCGTAAATAATGAGCGATTAAACCAATCGTTTGTCAATCAATTCAATAAAATGTAAGTAAAAGTCTCAGACGTGACAAATTCATAATTCATAATATATTTAATTTACATTTATTAAGGGCATGCTTGTTATGTATTTGTTATCTTATCATATTAAGAATTATCTTGTAAAATTATAAATTATTAAAATAAACCACGACCAAATTATAACTATTTAGTGATCTGTATAATTTTTGCATTTATATTATATAATTATTTATAATTTTGTTTTATTGTTTAGTGTGAAACGTATGCAACAAAACGGTGTCTATGAGTATAAAGTAAGCAAATCATTGAAACCTTTGGGTTTTGGTCCCGATATATACGACAAACCGATTGTCGATAAGACATATGATATCATATCCATTGCAGACATCGTTGGCGTCGTTTGGCTCTTAATCTCAGGCATAACTCTATCAACACTTTTACTGATCATTGAAATGATATATTCGTGGAAACTATTTAAACAAATTATTTCTTCACTGAATTTTATTATTCAATTTACAATCCAATTATTTATTTAATTCGCTTGTTTGCAAAGTGTAGTAAAAATATTGTTAGATGTTTGTTTAAATTATAGATCGGTATTTAAATCAATGCACAGTTTGGTTACATCAAGTGTTTTACTTTAATTATTGTGACAAAATAAATAAACATTTAATAAAAATACATTAATCAAAATAAAATATTTACAAAACACTTTTTTATAAATTAGTATTATCAGTACATTATAACTTGATAAAAAGATTTAATAGCGAACAATGTTTAATCAAGACCAATGGCCAACCTATTAGAAGCTATTACAGCATGAACTCTCTCTCTCTCTCTCTCTCTCTCTCTCTCTCTCGTCTCTCGCTCTCAGTCGTCGACCCGAATGCCAATACTATATGTCAGACAATGTGTTCATTTGCCTACAAATGTTGGCAAATGTGTGGTCACAACCCTTACACCCAAAATGTCTTTCACAAACAATCATTGCTTGCATTCAAATCATAACATATTTTTTAATTACATGTTTATGTATAATAAGCGCTGTATATGTGCTCATCACTGGCCACTCGGGTACAGCGCCGCCCAATTGGTTGGTCACTATCGCCGTATGGATGGGTGCGTGCGGTTTCATATACAACGACCTAATCATGGCTCACAAAATTGGCAAAATAGCAATAATGGGATCGGCGACACAAGTTACCTTGGCCCTATTTGTGTATCGCTATAATATAGTATGCCAGTGGGTAATATAGTGGGAATTATTCTCAAGTTTACAAAAATATTTTTGTGTTTTAGGCTATATTTAAATACTATGCAATTGTTTTTCCCTTTTTATTGTCACTATTTTTATAAGAGCCAATGATAAAGTATTTTTGTACTTAACTTCACTCATAATTATTTTACTTGAACTTATTTTATTTATAAAACTGTACGTTATATAAAGTGTTGGAAAATTTGTATTGTATTTGTGGAAATTTATCTGTTATAATTTATAAGTTATAATAAGTAAAGTAATATACAGTATATTGTAATATTCTATTGTATTAAACTATCAGACATCTAATAGTTTTAGTTTTAAATGAAATAATCTCATGAATATAATTTACATTTATTAAATTACCTGTTACATTATATTACTTTAAAATATCATATTATTGAGCATATATTTTATATTGAGCAAAACATGAATTGCAAATTATAAAGAGCAATACATTAATCAATAAATTAAAATTAATACGATATCAATAATAATCAAAAAATTAAAACAAAACAATGGACATCAAACCTAATACTATTGGCATTTTATATAAACTAAAAAGGTGCTACGAGTTTATAAGCTTGCTCACCGTTGAGCCGTATTTATTTATCTGGATATTTGTTATAATGATGAAAAAAGTACCCACCGATCAATTGGTCCAGGACAAAATATGCCGCAACGTATACCACATAAACGCAAGTTATTGTTCAAATTTGTCTCGAATGGCCGACTCGGATGACTATCTGGGCATTAAGTCCACAATACTGACCGATAGCACCACATTCATGGCCTCAAGCATTGTGTTAATAACATTGCCATCAGTGGTGGCCTTACTGTTCATCGGCTCGTGGACTGACACCTATATCAGGGCCAAGAAACTGATCCTCATTGGGGGTGCGGTGGCCACCCTATTGGAAGTCTCCGTACTTATTGTTAACGATTATGTGTTTGATTTGTGTAAGAAAATTGATTTATTAACTATTAATTTAATTTCTAACGTAAGATTTTATTATAAGCAGCGCACTATGTAATATTATTGTCAAATGTACCATGCATGTTGACCGGGGGTGCATTAGCCCTGTTCTCATCGATCTGGTCCTATATTTCGGTCACCACTCCAACCAATATGCGGGCCATGAGAATAGCTGTCGCAGAGATCACTATTGCCTTAGGTCTGGAATTAAATATTTTAAATTCACATTATTTTATTTAATATTACATCAATTTATTATAAATTATAATCAATTATTTTGTATTATGTGATGCATATGTTTGTTATAAATTATAACTTAAAATAATGTCACAAAATTTCATATAGAATAAATATGTTTTTTGTTGTAATTATGGTAAAATTAGTTTAAAGGAGCTAGAGTAAAAATATAATAGACCAAATAATTTAACTAAACAATTGTTGTATAAGTATAGCGCTGCCATTGGGCTCATACGTGGGCGGACTGGTACTAAACACTACACCCCTGTTCAGCACCGGTCAGTTGCATAACTACTCGGCGGTGTTTATCATCGGTGGTGTTGCCTTTGCGTTGGCACTCATTTGGATCCTATATATGGTGGACGAGCGCCGGGATGTCGGCGAATGGGAGCGACGGTTCAATCGCTTGTCCGACACCGAGACTGACGAAGAAGTGGCCGAAAGGGTGCGACAGAAGCTCCAGAAATACGACGACAATCAAGACATACATCCAATCAAACTGTTGCTAAACTTGAGTAACGCTCGCGAAATGTGGCGCACGTGTAGTAAACGCCGGGACGGGTGGACACGACTCCAGATATGGCTACTGTTTCTATCGATGGCCTGTTATCTCATGTCAAACATCGGACCCGTTTTCTTCTTGTATCAGTTCTCGCAGAAGGTGTATAACTGGGACTCAAAGACATACAGCGACGTCACTGCCATCGCACACATAGCAATCACTTTGGCCACAATGATCTTTGCACCCATATTGCTCAAGGTAATTGCATAATATTAATTTATTGTTTAGTTATTACAGTATAATACATACATGATTAATAAACATTTGCATCTAGGTGCTAAAACTTAAAGATACCACAATATCAATGGTGGGTTTGGGTTCACATTTTATGCAAAATATTGTGAGGGGTGTTGTGTTGACACCCTTTGGCTTTTACTACTCGATAATCGCCGGGTGTTTAGGAGGCGTCGCCTCAATCGGCATTAGGTCTCACTTTTCAAAGATTATACGATTGGATGAATTGGGAAAAGTGTTCAGCGGTTTGTCGGCCATCGAAGCCCTGACGCCACTCATATCGGCCGCTCTGTTCACCGGTATATTCAACGCCACAATGGATTCAATGCCCGGTCTGTCCCTAATTGTGTTGGCGCTCATACTTATGATCCCGTTTGGAGTCGTCCTATGGATCCATTTGTGCACTCATTTGCCAGATGTTGACCACAATAATGATAATAAAGCAATAAGTATTAACGACGTTGATAATAATTAAATGAGAGATGTTCTTGGTAATTAGAGTGGTCATTCAAATTCATCATGTTAAGGCATATTTAAACCATTTACCTTAATAGTTGTTATTTTGTGAGAAGATGTATTAAGGTTTATTTTTTACATAATATTAACTTTATTTACTAGTTGTTAACTATAAAAATACTACGGTAATAATTTGGGATTAAATAATATAATTAGCAATATTTATAAGCATTTATATAAATAAGAATAGTATACAATTAAGTTTTAATTAATACAAAACATAAAATACTATTTCTAATCAATGTTGTAATAATTATAAAAAGGATATTACTTTTTTGATGAGACATTAAAACGTGATCACAATTACAAACATTTGACAATAACCTATTTATGTTATATCGGTGTATATTTGTGTATAAAAACAAGTTATGTTTACAAATGCACTCAATTATATGCAATATGTTATGATTAGTACATTTGAGTAGATGTTGATTGGCATACAAGCCATAGGAATATTCTGTGTATTGAATACAATAGAAATGGCAACACATTTATGCCATCTATAGATTTGCACTAAAACTTGATTAACATTATTGAATAACAATAATTACTTGTTATATTGATAAAGATTACACTTTAATTGAGTGTAGGCAAACTATTAGTACTAATTTGACTAATAAACATGTGATTAGACAATCAATATTATAACTGCATTAAGCGTTCCTAAAAAAGTATATAAATATGTTTAAAAATTATATTTAATTTAGTATTAAATTAATAACTTTCTTGTGGTTTCAATAAAGCATACTTATAAAAAAGTTTTAATTTTTTAATAAACAATTTTTAATGTAAATAAAAATAAGAATATTACCTTAAATAATAATCTAATCAAACATTATAATGGATAATAAATCAAAAACCCATCTATTCCACAAACTGCGCCGGGTCTACGAATTTTGTAGCATGCTCACTGTTGAGCCTTATATGTTTGCCTTTATGTTTGTATATACATTAAAACGGGTGCCGACCGACCAAATGGTTCAGGACAAGATCTGTCGACTATCATTCAAACTCGATGCTACTTATTGCCAACAATTGCCCACAACGTTAGATGACGATGATTATCTGGGTAAAAAGTCCGAGATACTCGCTCAGGGCACTATATTTACAATCTATCAGGTGATTTTGTTGACTGTGCCATCGCTGGTTGCATCACTGTTTATTGGATCATGGTGTGACAAATATATTAAAGCCAAAAAGGTTTTGCTTATGGCCGGTGCTGTGGCGGCTGTGCTCGAGTCCATTGTACTTATACTTAATGATTATTTCTTTGATATAAGTGAGTGCTTCAAAATTCATACATGTTTAATAACATTTTAAAATTAATATTTTATTTAAATCTAGCTCAATATACAATACTGGTAGCATTGGTGCCAGGTCTATTCACCGGTGGTATACTGGCCCTATTAATGTCTCTGTGGGCGTACATCGCGGCCACAACACCGCCACAGATGCGGGCCATTAGGATGACTATCGTCGAGATTATCATTGGTTTCGGTTTGTCATAAAAACATTACACTTTTAATTATTAAATTAATCAAAAAATATATCTAACATTAATAGCTCAACCATTGGGCACATATATCGGAGGGCTAGTGCTTAACACAAAGTCGATGTACAGTAGCGGTCAGTTACACAACTACTCCGGGGTGTATATCATCGCAGGCCTGACCTATATATTGGCGCTGTTGTGGACGGTATTCATGATCAACGAGGAAAGGGATATCAAGAAATGGGACCATCGGTTCAATGTTGTGGCTGCTGATGAGGTTGTGGTGACCCCAGGTTCTGATCAGAAGGCGGAGGGGTCGGCAGGTGTGAGCAAAATGAACGCCCGTTTACAGCGTTACGAACAGCACCGACACGTATCGCCGGCGCGACTATTGTTTAACATTGAAAACATGCGCGAAATGTGGCGCACGTGCGCCAAAGCCCGGCCAAACCACGTGCGGCTCCAGATATGGCTACTGTTGCTGTCGATGACCTGCTATCTGCTCTCACACGTCGGCCCAATGATCTTCATGTTTCAATTCGCCCAAAAGGTCTACTCGTGGGACTCAAAGACATACAGCAATTCAATGGCCATCGGCAGCGTTGTCACCGCCGCGGCTACCGTATGCATTGCACCCATACTTTTCCGGGTACAGTATATTAGCAGTAATTTAATTAGAGCTTAAATTAATACCATGATAATTTAATAGCTAACACTTGAACCTATGGTTTGTTTTCTATGCACAGGTGTTTAAGCTGAAGGACACCACTTTGTCAATGGTAGGCCTGGCCTCGTATTTGGGCCAAAACGTGATCCGGGGTCTAGTGCTGACTCCGGACGGTTTCTTCTACGCCCTAATACCCGGCTGTTTGGGTTCAGTGGCCTCTATAGGCATTCGTTCGCATTTCTCCAAAATCATAGCACCGGACGAATTGGGAAAAGTGTTCAGTTGTTTGGCAGCACTCGAGTCATTCACACCATTACTGGCCGCCGGACTCTTCACTATAGTATTCAATAACACTATGGACTCAATGGCCGGACTTTCGCTACTACTCGTGGCCTCCATATTGATTATACCCATCGCTGTACTTATTTGGATACATAACTGTACTGTATTGCCTGACAATAAAGGTAATAATTATAATAATAATTGTGATGATGGTAATATAAAACCTACTAATCACAACGGTGTCAACAAATTATCAGTTTAATGATTTGTTTGATTTGATTATTTTAATTTTGTATAATTTAATAATGGTGTGATAGAGCTTTATTTTTGTATTAAATGCTAAATATTTACCTACATCATTTATTAATCAATTTTTATTTTATACTATCCAATACTTATTGAATTTATAAATTTAGCATAGAGTAGAAATAAACAATTATGCTAACAGTGATCTCCGATCACATACTTGTGTTTCATACATAATAAATGTTTACTGTTTTACATTAAATAATATTAAATGTTTGTTCCTATGATTTTTATTCTCTCATATTATTTGATTATAATTTGATGTGAAATTGTATTGTAATCGAGGACTAAGATTAAGCATACAATGCATGACAATAAAGATAAATAAAACGGATTATAAATGGATTTAATCATTTAATCTCCACTTTCAATAAGCCATCGATGGTTTTAATGAAAACATGTGATCACTTTATACAGAATAGCAATCAAATAAATACTTGAAAAGCATTAGATTTTCATATGTAAGGCAAACATTTACTAAATGTGAAACTCGGAATTAAATGAAACTATAATAAATTAATAATAAAATATAAGTTTTATTAATTCATTTCATCGGTTATAATGTCTCACAATCTGTACGACAATTACAACAACACTATCGATGAAGTGGTGGTTAACTCCGATCAGTATAACACACATATAGTATACAGTCTGTCTACTCGTCGACCCGATAGCCAGTACTATATGTCAGACAATGTGTTCATTTGCCTACAAATGTTGGCAAATGTTTGGTCACAACCCTTACACCCACAATGTCTTTCACAAGCAATCATTGCTTGCATTCAAATCGTAACATATTTCCTAATTATATGTTTATGTATAATAAGCGCCGTATATGTGCTCATCACTGGCCACTCGCGTACAGCGCCGCCCAATTGGTTGGTCACTATCGCCGTATGGATGGGTGCGTGCGGTTTCATATACGCCGATCTTATATACGCCCACAATATGATCACTAATTACACTATTATAGCAACGGATCAACTCATGTATTGGTTGTCCGCCGCGAATGAGGCCAACGCACCGACGGTAATGTCGGCAAAACACAGGACGTGTTATATGTGCCGCCATTTGTGGTATGTGTCGGACTGGGGCCACAAAATTGGCGAATTGGCAATAATGGGATCAGCAGCACAAATGATCATGGCCCTATTTGTCTATCGCTATAATATAGTGCGCCAGTGGATTTATAGTGGCAATTATTCTCAAATTAAGTTGACCAAGAGATTTTTGCGTTTTAGTCTATATTTAAATACTATGCAATTGTTTTTCGCCTTTTATTGTCACTATTTTTATAAGAGTCAATGTTAAAGTATATTGGTACTTAACTTTGCTCATGATTATTTTACTTGAATTTGACTAACTTTCAAAAATTGTATGTTAAATAAATTATTGGAAAATTTTTACATTTTGAATTAAAACAATGATTTTATATTTTGATATAATCAATAGTTATTAATCATAAAGTAGGGAAACCGAAAAATGAGTCAATTAATATGCAGACTAAACAAAATCCATGAATTAGTCAGAAAATCTTAACATATAGTATTAAACTTATGCTTTAAAATGAACAATTTGTTGTAATAGTCATTATTGTGCTCAAAACTATGCAAAAAGCATCCAAAAAGCATCCGAACGGTTTGCCTATCATAAAGTATAGTTTAAATACTTAATAAATGCAAAACAGGTTTTATATATTTTTCAACAAACACGTTGTAAATTTTTCGTTCATATTGTGTTGAGCTCTTGCTGTGAATACATTAATTAATTTTAAATCTCAATTATACTGTAATTAGTGAATAATGTCGTTCCCATTAATTATATTTGCATTGATTTATGGCGTGAATTGTGTTGTTATAAACAATGAAATTATTTCATTAAAAAATTTGCCAATAAATGACTGTCTTAATTATGGCTCGATTAATGAGATTTTAAAATGAAATCCAACTGTATCTCAATCTATGATTATTTTTGTTGCAAGGTAAGCTATTTTTTGCAACAGTATAATTTTATTTTAAATCTGGTTAGTTCTATTAAAATAAATAATTTATTTTAACAAACTCAATCAAGAATATGGGAACATTATATAGTAAAAGTTTAATTTGATTAATAACAAACATTACCGTATTACCCCGCATATAGGTGCATGCACTTATATCTGAGTTTCATACAAGGGGTGCACTTTTATCAGGATATAGGTGCGGTAGTTTTT